CTGTTCTTGAGGCAATGCCAATGTGAACACCCAATTTTATCCGAAACATTTAAAAATGACAAAAAAGTACAAAAAAAAAATAAAAAAAAAAAAGAAAAGAAAAATTTAAGTTATGAACACATATTTTTGACCTTCAATAAGGAAAAAAGGAAGAGAGCAATCAAATAGATGGATAAGGGAAGGAGGACCATTTCAGAAAAAATAACAACTTTGAGTAAGACCTGTTCCAGCCGCGATATCTCCTTCATCCACCAACCGGTCGAGCTAAAATTTTTTTAGCAAGATCTTGACTCATTTTCCTCCATATCGACCGGTGGATTTCTTGATTCGATGTCTATATAATTCCCAGAAAATTTAAAACCGAAACAGTTCTCTTGGACGTTTCTATAGCGAGCAACAATTTTATAAGGGTCATTTCTCCCGAATGAACTGTTGGATCATCCTCAAATTTTGTCAGCGTGTTCCTTTCATGTAATACTACAATCTGACCAGACGAATTTCTAAAATGAGTTCTCTGGTCTGAAGTCTTAAGAAGTCCTACATTGCCCACTTCTCATTCCTTCCTCCTCCATTCCCTCTATATAAAGAGCTCATCCTCCTTCCTTTCAACACACACGTTTGGAGAGAACCAAACAAAAAACACAAAAAAGACTCTTCCAAGAGTTAAAAAAGACACTTGGGCTTTATATTAAAGATTGTGTCATAGTAATATTTTTTAAAGATACTTGGGCTTGAGATTAAAATCAAGCTAGTGTCATAGTAAACATTTCATTTTTTAGTATAATTAGGGGGGGTTTGTTAATTTAGTCGTGACGACTTGTTAACTTAGGTTGTGCATGACAATCATTCTGTTTCATGGCACTGTTTCTGAAAAGAAACAATTCTTTTCTATTTCTATGCCTTGGAATAGTTTCTGAGAAAAAAAAATGTGTTTGATAACATGTACTATTTTTATTCCGAGAATGAGAATTGTGTTTGATAACACAACAAATAATATAACAAAAATTAATTTCTATTAAACATAAAAAAATTTCGGATCATCACTTTCCTTTTTTATGGTGGTGGTGGCGTGGTGATGGTAGTGATGGTGGTGGTGACGACAGTGGCTGCGACGGTGGTAGTGGTGGAGGTAACAATAGTGGTTGCGACGATGGTGGTGGCGGCAGCGTGGTAGTGGCGACAATGGTGGTGGTAATATTGGTAGTGGTAGTGGTGGCATGATGATGGTAGTGGTTGTGGTGATTATGGTGACAGTGCTGGTAGTGGCTGTGGCGGTGGTGGCAGTGCTGGTGGCGATGGTGGTGGTGGTGGTGGTGATGGCAGTGGTTGCGGCGATGGTGGTGATGATGGCGATAGTGGCGGTGGCGGTGGCAATGGGTGACGGCAGTGGTTGCGACAATGATAGTGGCGGTGGCGACGACAATGATAGTGGCGGTGGCGGCGACAGTGATAATGGTGGCAGTGATGGTGGCGGTGGTGGTGATGACAGTGGCTGCGACAATGATAGTGGTGGTTGTGGCAGTGGCATAGTGATAGTGATGGCATGACGGTGGTGGTGAAGTAGTGGCTGCGGTGATAGTAGTGGCAACGTCATGGTGGTGGTAGTGGTGGCGATGGTGATGGCAGTGGCTCCGATGATGGTGGTGGTGGTGAAGATGATAGTGATAGTGGTGGTGAAGATGATGGTAGTGGTAGTGGTGGTGGTGGTGGTGGTAGTGGTGACAGTGGCATGGTGGTACGACGGCGATGGTGATGATGGTGGCGGTAGTCGTGTCGGGATGATGGTGGTGGTGATGATGATGGTAGAGGTGGAGAGTGATTGAGAGAGGCAAGTGTTTCTGATTTTGTGCCCGGAAACAAAAAATAAAAAAAAATTATTCTTTTTTCTTTACCCCAGCACAAATATTAAATCTGTTCATCCCAGGAACAAAGAATAAACCGATTTTACCAAACAAGTTTTCTATCCATTTCTGTTCTCAAGAACATAAATTTAAAAAAAAATTGATTCCGGGAAGGTTGTCATGCACACCCTTTGTTATCTGTGAGGATTAATTGAGCTGTAACGACTTGTTAACCTCATAGTACAATTTTAAGGCATCAAGCTTGTTGAGTTGAGGTTGTTCTCCACAACTTGGCTCCGTACACCTAGTTTTATCGTCTTTGAGGTAAGCCTGCTTACTTTGTCCTTTAGTTAATAATTGTCTATTTTTGTATACTTTTTCATGCTCTTTATTTGCTTTATTAGTTTATAATTGTCTATTTTTATGCTCTTTATTTGTTTATTATTTACTACTTTCCCACCATATTTTGAAAATCATAATTCTTGGGCACAAAAAAATTTATCCTCTACCGAACATCCTTTAGGGAGCGTTTGGTAGAAGAGAATTTTTTTTTTATTCGAAAATCACGATTCTCAGGAATATGATGGGAAAATGAATTTACCGGAAATATTACCAAAAAATTGTTTGATAGGCTAAAATATTCCTGGAAATGTTGGATCAATTTTCTTGATATTATATTTGGTTGATAATCAAATATTACTAGGAATGTGGGATGATTTTACAAAAATAACCCTAATGTCTAATCTTCTTTCGTTCTTCTTCTTTCCTTCTTCATTCTTTCTCCGTTCTTATGTCAGAGTTTGCATTGTAACATAAGCACTAAAATTTTTGAGGAGAGTGAACCCGTTTGCAATAACAACGAAATATGCATTTGAAGGATCTAGATTATCGTAAGTAGATGGGTAAAAATGGAGTCGAACCCAAAGGCGCTACTTTGGTGAAACAAGGAATTGGTATGTGGATGGAGAAGTGGGGAAGGTAGAGAAGGATCTTGGTGTTGGTGTTGGTGTTGTGTTGTTGCCTTATCGAAAGTGGTTACTAGATATTCAGAATCTGACACCAAGCACGAAATTATGAAAAAATCAGAAGCTGGTGCAAATTTTTTAGTTGTGTTTAAGATGAACAAAAAATAATTAGATAAAACAAGCATTGGTTATTGGGTCCCCCATAACTGCACAAGCGTGAGAAAGGGAAGTAAGCAGGGTGGTGCAAGAAGAAGGGAAAATGCAGAAATTAACAAGAATATCTCATAGTTTGCCAATAAAAAATTAAAATTATTAAATTAAGAATAAACTTTGAGTAGATAAATGTCTTCCTTTGGTTCCCTGTCTTTTCTCTTTCTTTCCCTGCGACTACAAGCAACACGAGCTTTAGATGGAAAGAGGAGGTTCAGAACGAAAGAAGAAAATGGGGTCAATTTCGTTATACAAATTGTGCCAAATATTCCCGAAAAAAAGAAAACCATGTCTTCGATGGTATTTCAAAATAGGAATCGGTAGTGTTAAATCAAATCCTGGGAATAAAATTTACCCTAGCAAATTTTTACTTTTCTTTGTACCAAACGTGGGAAAGTTAGTTTTCCAAACCCACTTTCCCAGCAATCCTAAAAAAACCTCTTACCAAACATCCTCTCAAGTAAATATCAAAGAGACAAAATAGTCAAAGAAAACAAGGAAGAGAAACCCGTATCAGGAGTGTTAGCTAGCCAAAAAGCTTTGTTGGCGCTAACGGATCAACAAAACCATTACAGTTGCGACTCCCTCGTATCTTCCTTCGATCAAGTAATCCCAACCTAATCAATATTATTAAATATGACCTGGTCATTAACTCGGCCAGAGGATTATAGGTTTATATATATATATATATATATATATATATATATATATATTAATTATAGGTATCTTTCGGAAAGTAATTTTAATTGAGTCGAGAGCATTCACATTATAATGACACTAGCTCACTTAATAGAGATTTTTTATATTTATAATAATTTGAACTCGAAATCTTATTTAAGCATAATTAAATATGTATTACTTAAATTATCCCTTTTAATATTGATAGGTTATTATTTAAACTGCATTTATATAGAATTATATAACTAATATAATAATAAGTGCCTTTTAATATTAAAGTAGCCTAGTGATAAGGGTTGCTGGCAAAAGTTGTCAGGACATGAGTTTGATCGAGAAGAGTTTTGGTGATTCAGGAGCTTCAAAATTTAAATGGTCCAAGCCAATAAAAATGTGACAACTAATCAGAAGAGAGAAGAAAGAAAAAGTAAAATTTTTTTTATAGAAGTGTCAATCTCTCAATGAAAGGAGCACATGAAACGAGGACCACTAAAATTTTCTCTAGTTTGATCTTTGGAAAATGCAAATTTTAAAATATTTTCAATGAAATTTCAAAAATTCATTCATTTAAAAATTCGATACGGTTCAATGTCAGTTGGAGCGCAGTTATAAATGAATCACCCATGGTAGTTAAAATCCCGATTTAAATCTACGATTTTACGATTTTTTTTAATCAAAACGATTTCATCAAAATTTCAAACACTTTTACGCTTTTACGATTTTTTACGATATTTTTCACTTTAGAATTTTACATTTTACGATTTTTTATCCTCCTTTCAATTTTAGGTAGAATCTCAATTTTAACTACCATGGAGTCACTCAATTTAATACCGAGTTGAATGTATAACCAATTGGTTACATAAACCGAACCAGTCCATGATTCAGTTAAACCGGCTGGATCGGCTAATCCCATACATAACAACGAATTAATATGAGAAGATTCTATTTATTTACGGAGAAATCAACATTAATAATTTTGTCAATCTATATCTTAATATATTTTCTCTCTCATATTTCATTATCATTATTTTGCTCATAAACAATTAAGATACTCTCACATCTTATAATTATTACATCCACTCCCGTTATAGTTAGAGAGCCTCACATACATCAAAGTATACAAAACCCAATTTCGTGGAAGTTCCCCAAACCTCATTGTCATTCAAATAATGTTCAACAAACGCTCTTCTCTCGATATATAATCCTAAACATATATCACTCATCTCAATTAACCAACCACACCCTATAAGCTTTCTATGCCACACTCTGTCTCACTCAAAAAAAAAAAAAACTAAGACTGTGAATCAGAATGGAAGCAATGAACAGAGGCTACTCCTCTACTTCTTGTTCCGATTCCTCCACTTCAGAGTCCACCCCACGAAACAAACCGGGCAGAATCAAAGGACCATGGAGTGCTGAAGAAGATCGGGTCCTGACCCGACTCGTGGAAAAATACGGGCCCCGAAACTGGTCCTTGATAAGCCATTACATAAAGGGTAGGTCCGGCAAGTCCTGCAGGCTTCGGTGGTGTAACCAGCTTAGCCCCACGGTGGAGCACCGACCATTCTCGCAGCAAGAGGATGACATCATCTTAGCCGCACATGCCCAATACGGTAACAGGTGGGCCATCATTGCCCGGTTATTACCGGGTCGAACCGATAATGCTATCAAGAATCATTGGAACTCATCCCTTAAACGGCGTCGTTCTGTTGTTGCTGCTTCTGCTGCTGCGGAAGACGTCGTCGGGGATGCTTCTCCGGGATCTGTGCCATTGGAGGATGACCCGTTGACCGAGTTGACACTGGCGACTCCGGGGACCGGTAACGGTGTCGGGGAGGAGATGGTGGCGGAGCAGCGAAGAGTTTCGCCGGAGGGTGTGCCGGCGGGGTTTTGGGATGCTATGCGAGATGTGATTGCGAGGGAAGTGAGAGAATATGTGTCTCACACGTTTTCTGACAACTTGGGTTTTAATTGAACGCTTAATCATATGTCGTTTTATGTAGTTTTTTCTTCTTTTAGCGAAAATATGTTTTTTTTTTTATATTATTTTTTCAAGGAAATTCTGCTGTTTAACTTCGGGGATTGCTTGGGTTTGGAATCGGAATTGGATCATCAAGTAATTAAAATCTAGCTCCTCCTATGAGCAATTTCGTTCATCCACTTCAAATTAATTATTAAAACATATTGTTGTTAAGAAACCAATTCACTTAAGCTGTTCGAGTCAGGTTCGTATCCTGTCAAGGTAAACTCTCCAACCCAAATATTGCACGTTTTTATTTGTCGGTCGAAAATTAAAATTTCGATACGATCAGTCATGGGTTGTCATTGGTGAACCGGTTCTTTACATAAATCAAAACTTTAAGATCATAAAGTCACGAGTTCGATCCTCTTACTTATGTAATTAAGTAAGCAAGCATAATGTAAATCAAAAATTCATATCTCCATATTTATGGAATTATGTAAGCAAAAGTAAATAAAAAATTGGGCATATGCAATATTCACGCTTCGCCCTCAAAGAGCTCTTACGAAAAAGAATAAATTAGAAAATAATATAAACTATTAAAAAATCTCTCACCCAATAGCTTAAGCAGTTCTTTGCAGGCCACACGACTGCACTTGCAAAAAATAAAAATTTGATTTTTTTTTTCTAAAAAAATTAAAATTATAAAAAAGAATTGAATAAAATATGCGGGTTGACTCGTGACTTACAATGGAATATGTCAAAATTATCAAAATTTCAATTTTATTTATTTTATTTTTTTGGACAAAAAGAATTTTGCTGGTTGACCCGATCATCCTATGACACGACACGACACTAATTATTGCCATTTATACAAACTTGTACACGATTCACTTTAATCCACCGATTGACATGATCCGTATTTTGACGTGTCTTGTCGCAGGTTGACCTCCGATACAGGACAAATTTTGCCACCTCTATTGTTGAGTGATGCTATATTAATATTTTTTATATTTCTCTAACGTGTCCTCTCACACAAAAACTATTGAATTTGAAGGATTAATTATGCATTAGGCCTAGCCCAATTGCGTTAAGAAACTTCATAATATTTAATTATTTTTATTAATAAAATAGGAACGGTGGAGATCGAACTCGTGACCAGTTACGTTGTCTCTGATACCATATTAAACAACCAATTAATTTCGTTAAATTTAAGGATAAAAATATATTTTTATTTGTAAAACTTAACAACAACTTTTTAATGTTTTTATAGTTCTATCTGTCCTTGCAATAAGAAAGTATTTAGTTATATGTATTCATCTGCTGGGGCTTTCTTGTGAGTTGTGATAACAATTGGAGCAAAGGGTGAAAAATGTACGTATCTGCAAAATCCTCTGAGGAAGTCGAATTGTCCGAGATGCGTTCTGATTTCTGTACCAAGCAAGTTACATAAGGTGGATTCCTTGAGAGAACGTGATTTAATTAATAACTGAACACACCTTAAAATAATTTTCTTTAAATGAATTATATATATATATTTGCAGACAAAAAAAGAAAAGGAGCTAGCGGTGATTATAATCATACCATAACATGCATTTCACTTATTGGGTAAAATTGCACATATATTGAGCATGATTTATATTTGATAATAGTGTTCCCACCATAGGCAGCCAAAAATCTTCGTATAAGATGGACATAGTGACAGACATTCATGAAATCTGAACATTGTTCAATGTTTCACAATGGACCCTACAGGTCCACCCAAAATAGAAAAACTTTAGTAGAGCATTTAAAGCAAAGCATGCTAGCTACAAGATAGGGGTAGGCGATGCTTGTTTAACTTACACTTGAAGATTCATCAAAAGTTAGTTGAACTTCAGAAAATTGACTGGATCATACGTTGAATCCATCGAATGAATTACATTTGATCATTGATTTTGTAAAACGATAATAGAATATGATTAATGGAAATATTGTTTCTTATGCTGTATGAACAAATTATTTTATGCAATATACAAAAAAGTAAGTGAAACTCATTGAGAAAAAAGAGAAAGAAAGAAAATAAGTGAATCTCATCTATTTTTGTGTGTTTTGCATAATACAATTTGTCTCGTGTAATAATAATTAATTTATGTTATAGTTGAATAGATAAACTTTGATTATTCTTTTCCTTTCTGTTAGATTGAGATATTTTCAGTTTAGATTTATTTGATCCTGTAAATCTGTTACTGTTTTTATTTTATAGGAACGTTTGTTTAGATAGAAAAATATTAGGAAGTTTGTTATTATTTGATCTTATCTCAGATCAGAATTCATTTGTATATATACTCTTATTTGAGAATGAATAAGATAACAGAGAATTATTTCAATTTGACATGGTATCACCGAGCTGTGTTCTTGTTCCTGGGAAATAATTATTGGTCCCACATCGTTTCCCTTACTATTTTTTCATTCCTCCTCACCCACCCTCTGTTACCCACCCTCTCTTCGAACGTCTCATTCTCGAACGGCCGAACTTTTCTTTCCCTTCTTTCTAAAACTCCCAAATTTATTCAAACTCCTACTTCCATTCCCCGAATCTTCCTTTCTCCCCTTCCCAAATATCCCAAATTTCATCAACTCCCTCTTTCCATTCGATCTCAGTAATGGATTCTCCACCACATTCTGATTCTGACTCACCACAAGACACCCCTGCTCCTCAGAATCCTAACCCTAACCCTCCGAACATTGTGATTCATCAGGATAACTCCTCTCTTCCCTTAACCATAATCTTGGATGATTCCAATTACCCATTATGGTCTCAATTGATGGATATGCGCATTGGCGCACGCAACAAATCTGGCTTTCTTGACGGCACAACTCTGAAGCCTCCACCCTCTGATCCGTCGTATGCCACCTGGGTAACCGACAACAAAAGAGTCAAAAGCTGGTTAATTGATTCTATGAACCCTAGCCTTATGCAGCGCTTCATTCGGCTGGAAACTGCCCACGAAATTTGGGAGGCAACCTCTCGAACATTCTATGATGGTTCAGATGAAACTTGTTTATTCGATTTGAACCAGCGGTCATTCTCCACTAAGCAAATGGGTAGGCCTCTCTCCACCTATTATAATGAACTTCTTGCTCTATTTCAAGAAATTGATCACCGACTCTACTCCTCCAACACTGTGGAAGGGGTCACCAATGGTCATTCGGCCCTCTCTCGTCTACGTGTTCACATTTTTTTGGCCGGTTTGGACTCTGAATTTGATCAAATTTGTGGTGAAATTCTTCGGAAGGATCCCAAGCTTGATCTGGAATCTACATATGCATATGTCCGCCGTGACTCCCACCAACGCCAATCCATGGGTGCTCCAAAACCATCTTCTGATAACACGGCACTCCTTTCTCATCAGGCACGGATTCCTTCCCGTCCACGAAGTGAGAAATCTTCTGGGAAATCATCCTCACTTGTTTGCACTCATTGTGGTGTTTCGGGACACTCCAAGCAACGATGCTATGAACTAATCGGATACCCTGAATGGTGGGACTTCACACTCCGGCCCCGCAAGAAACTTCCGAACAAAGCACCTGCTCCTTCTCCACCCCAAGCGAATGTTGCACATGCAGGAATTTTGGGTAAGCAATTTGTTTTTTCTGCACAAAGTAGGAATTCTACTTGGATTATTGATACAGGAGCCTCCAATCATATGGTTCAGGACTCCTCCTTGTTGCATGATTTTCAACCTTGTTCCCAATCTTTTATCTCTACTGCCAATGGGGGTACTTCCCAGATTACTGGTCAAGGATCTCTAACTCTATCTCCTAATTTCACCCTTTCTTCTGTATTATGTGTTCCCACTTTAGCATTTAATCTCTTATCTGTTAGTCAATTGACTACTGATCATAATTGCTCTGTTATTTTTGGACCTACCTTCTGTTCTTTTCAGGACATCCACCAGAGGAAGATGCTTGGTTGTGGTGTTAAATATGGGGACCTCTATTATTTGGATCTTGGACCACGCCCTCAGAATTCCATAACTCAGGCGTATGCCACATTAAATAAATCGAAGGCTTCTGCTGACATTTGGCTATGGCATCGTAGACTAGGTCACTTATCATTTGGGTATTTGCAAAAATTGTTTCCTAAGTTGTTTTCCTCTTTGAATCCTTCTGAATTCTATTGTTCTATTTGTGAGTTGGCTAAAAGCCATCGCGTCCCTTATTTTCCTAGTTTGAATAAAAGTACCTTTCCTTTTCAAGTTGTACATTCAGACGTTTGGGGCCCTGCCAAGGTGCCATCTCTTTCCCGCGCTTACTATTATGTCTCTTTTGTGGATGAATGTACTCGTATGATTTGGATCTCTCTTTTAAAACATAAGAATGAGGTGTTTGATGCCTTTAAAAAATTCTGTAACATGGTAAAAAATCAATTTCAAACTTCTGTCCAAATTCTCCAATCGGACAATGGCATGGAATATCTAAATACATCTTTTCATGAATTTCTTGACTCTAACGGTATCAAACACCAAACTTCTTGTGCATATACACCCCAACAAAATGGGTTGGCTGAACGCAAAAATAGACATTTATTAGAAGTTGTTCGTGCTTCCCTATTTGGAATGAATGTTCCTCGTTATTATTGGGGTGAGGCTGTTACCTCCGCAGCCTATCTTATAAATAGGACTCCCTCAAGTGTTCTAAATTTTCAAACTCCTTTTGAGAAACTTCAATCATATTTTTCTACCCCTCACACATCTAATCTTCAACCCAAGGTTTTCGGTTGCACTGCTTTTGTGCATATACCTAAGGTTCTTCGTAACAAACTTGACCCTTGTGCTTGTAAGTGTATCTTTGTTGGTTATTCTGACCTTCAGAAAGGTTACCGCTGTTATGATCCTATTCTTCGAAAAATATATATTACTCTTGATGTCTCTTTCAGGGAAACAGAAGCATATTACTCAGGGGGAGTATCTCACTCTTCTTCTCAGGGGGAGACTGCAATAACCAGTGGAGAAGAAGTGTTAGTTTCGATT